AAGACTCGTCCTGTGCAGTGAGCTGGTGCTTGGTTTGGGACTCAGAATGTAACCGTCAGTAACAATGGAACTTTAAAAATTAGAGTTTTTTTTATTTTTAGAGATAAGTAAGTCCTCCAAATTTTATCCTACTGAGCACATAGCCAATACTCCCTCCTCTCCTCAGCCTCAAAGCAGTGACAGAACATTCAGTACTGGCCCCATGAACCTGGAACCCACTTTACTTTCCACAAGAAAGGGGAAAATGAGCAGAAGATGACTAGAAGCGATAAAACAAGTGTAGAGACCTGCGTTATCTCTCCACAGCCTCCTTTCCTTACTATAAAACACCCTTACCCACCTGCACACGGTGAGGTGGTATTTTGAAGCTAATGGGTCCTTCATCTCCTCAAAGCCAGCTCTGAATAAATTCTTTTTCATTTTTACCAAAATATATGGCTTCCTTTGATTGGGTCAACAGTGAAAAAACCAACCTGAACATGTGAACCTGAATGGCCAGTAGCAGGAAATGCCAAGCTGTAGCTGGTATTGGCTCCAGCACTGAAATGAGGAGGTGGGCATTCCTGCCAGGTCAACTTTCTAACATCTCCTGTTCCTGGCCTGTCCCCCTTCCTGACACTGTTCGCTTTGTTCTGGGCTCTGACGTAGCTCATAGCTGTGTCATGGGAAAGTCAAATTGTGTGTTGTCAAGTCTGTGGTTGATTCCTGTTGGAGCTGTTCAAAGCCACAGAGCAGGTGCCTAAAGTTTTCTCTCTGGTCTCTCCTCTCTTCCCTCTCGTATATCCTTCCTGAACTAGAAGGGGAGGAGGAGCAGAGCTTTCGTCCACTTGAGTACAAGAGTCTGTGGGTGTGTTTTCTTTTTCATAACCTTGAGGGAGCCCCTAGTAGTTGAGATGTGCATCTTTCACCTTTATATGGCCGGCATCTGGTGCCTCACTGGCCACAAGCGTGTATTCCTTGGATAATGGATTGAAGTTAGTGAAGGCCTTTTGCTTCAAGATTAAAGCCACATTTTTATCAGTCCCTGATCATTGGCCAGATGCAGATCATATCTAGCCAGAGATGATGTCATGAGTTTGCTCTCTTATTTACCATGGCCATTAAGGCACCAAACAAAAGGATAAGTAGTGATTATTATTTTTAACCGGAAAACATCTACATGTCTGTGATCTCACAGCTGTGAGTCTTAAGAAGTAAAGTTACCTGAAGCTGTTAAGCTGTCATATAAATGGGGATGTGCTTCCTAGAGTTTTTTTCATTAGATAGGTGACCACCCATCCCAATCTGCCTGGATCAAGGGGGTTTCCAGCTCAAAAACCAGAATAGTTCTGGTTAAAAAACACAAGGTGGTCACTCTCTGGTTAGATTGCATGTCAAAAATGGTGTGCTCAGACAGGAGAATCAGTAGACTAGCTTGACTAGAGCTGAGAATTTTGGTAGTTTAGTCAAGGGAATAAGGCTGAAAAGATGGTTTTAGGCACCACATCTGGTGTTTGTCTGTCCCTATAACTAAGTTGTTCCCAAGGATTCAGCTAGTTTTCAGTATATCAGATGTCTAAAACTTATTCCCTAACCTGGCGTGGTGGCACATGCCTGTAATCCCAGCACTAGGGAGGCTGAGGCAGGAGGATCTTTGTGAGTTTGAGGCCAGCCTGGGCCACAAAGTGAGCTTGAGGCCAGCCTGAACTGCATAGAGAGAACTTGTCTCAAAAAGACAAAAAAAAAAAAAAAAATTATTCCCTTTGCCAAAAGGAAGCAACTTGCCTGCAGTAAAACACAAAAAAAATAGAAAGGCAAAGTAGGAATCAGAGGGAAAGATGGATAGGGTAAGGGGTAGATAGGTGGGCAAAGCCACCTGAAGACAGTTTTGGAATCCCTGAGACAAAACTTTAAGTTTGACATTTACGTGAGACCATAAAATTCCTCCTTATACTAGTTAATCTTGTACTAGTTACTTACAACTGAAAAAACTCTGACAATAGAATTGATTTAATGTTTTTATTCTATGTTAGGACATGCCAACCTTGTTTGTTTTTAAATAAACCTTTTACACTTACTGGAATACACGGAAAACAAACCTAACCCCCTGGAAGCAGGCAGGAGGTTGATTTGCCAAGCTCCATCTGTGATAAAAAAGGCTCAAAGCCTGAGTCTGTCTGGACCTCTGTTTTAAATGTCAGAAGTTCTCCTCAGATTAGCTTAAGAAAAAAATTATGCTGGCATAAATGAAAATTCCAAGGGTAGGTCTGAGTTTGCCTTTAGACAAAGGTAAGTCTAATATCTCAGGGCCTTCTTGCTGGGGTAGGGATCAGGCCAGCTCTTTTCCCTTGCAGACTGGCAGGTTGGCTGTGCACACCCCAAACTTACATTGCCCCATTCAAGCAACTTTACAGAAAAAGACTGTTCATCTATAGCTCTGGCAGAAGAGATATCTGATGGTCCTAGGTGGACCTGGGGTTACCTCTGAGCCTGTGATGGTGCCTGGAACAAGTGTGTTCACAGGCTGGCCCTGAGCCACCTGCTCATACCTGCATGTTCAGCAAGGTAGTTCCAGTGAATCACCTGGGGCAGATTCCCTGTAGAAGGGAGGGATTCTTTTGTCCTCAGAAGGGAGCAGGGAGGGAGCTTAGCTGATGAAGTAATGCTCTGGGCTTAGTTCTCATCTCTTTACCTGAGTGATGTCAACTAGTAGATTCTCAATAAAACCTTGTCCAGTCAGAATAAATGGAAGAGTAATTTATTCAAAACAAGGAGGTTGAAAGTTGTGAAAAATACCCATGGTTCTGAGACAGTTCTGGAACTTGTACCCAAGCCTTTCAGCAAATTGATTAGTCTTAAGGAAGGAAGCATACTGCTGAACATAGAGCCCTATTATATTTGGGGCTCTGAGTTTTCCATCAATCCTTCTTCACAACCTTGAAAGCAAAATTTGTGTTCAGAAAACAAAAGGGGCTTTCAACTCCTTTGGAAAGAGGCCCCTGAGGCTGGGGGTGGAGTGCTGAATAGAAATCAGCAAGTGGATAAGTTCAGTGTAAAGAATGTGAAAAATATTCTTTCCCTTTGCTTTGAAACCTGAGGGTCTAGAAATCATAGGAGAGGCAGCTTGCCAGGGGCATGGTCAGCCCACTCCCCAAGAAAGGTGCTTGAGAAATATCTGGCATTTGAGCCTGGATGGCTTTTGCTTTCTTGCCTGGACAAAATGCCAGTTTGCTCTCACAAATTATTCCCTTTCCACTGGTTATTTATTTCTCATAGTATTACTAGAAACCCTTTTGTGAAGATTAAAAACTGTACCTTCATTATTTGGACCCATCTATGATTCTTGATGCAAGTAGCCTCAATTCTCCAAGGCAAAACCTATCTTTAAGGACACCCTCTGTTCTACCCACGGCAGGTGGATGGAGCATGTATCAATGCCTCTTCGCTGCTGGCAGTGTGCTCAGTACTTTCACACAAACTTTGAGCCTATGGAGTCAGCTGGACTTCTGTTAAAATTTGGACTCTGATTCTGATATATCTGTACTGGGTCTAGAAAACAGCTATTTATTGCTGCTGGCCTGGGGACCCCATATGGTGACATGGATGAAGCTTGCCGCTCAAGACAGCCTAAGGAACAAGTGCTGGTCTTTCCACTGCCCACCATCACCTCTGCCTCCAGAACAGGCTTTCAGACAGCTAGTTCAAGCAGAGGCTGCTTTGGTGCCTGCACTGCCCACAGTCCCTGGGGTTTAAAATTAAGCTTCCAAAATCTGTGGGTGCTCCGTGCTGGGGAGCTCTGCCCTGGCCAGAGCATTTGGCTGTATTCTCCAGTTGGAGACGTCACCATCCCGGCAGGGCCTGTAAGACTCGTTGCCAGTCTCTGTCAGATGAGGAGGGTGTCAGTGCTGATTGAAGGGCGCTTCTTCCTAATCTCCTTTTCCATGTCCTCTTTCTTCTCTGTGTTCTTTATGTTGTAATAATATAAACGATACAGGTTTACAGGAATTAAAAGGAAAAGGTCCATTTAAATGGAAGGGAATCAAACAAAGATCAGCCATGTCGTACATGGCCCATGAGCCCTAGTCCTCAGGGGTCACCTCTGCTAATGCACTCTAGTTACACCTGCTGGAATGCTTGGCTTCCATGGCAGGAGCCCTACTGGCTTCAGTGTTATGGGGAATTTTCTCTCATGTGCGTGGGCTGTAGGGGTGGTTGATCAATAGCTTTGATGCTTCTGGGCTTCTCTCTGTCTTTGGTCTTGGTCATCCATGTCACTCTGGTTGTCCTGAGGCTGCTTCCTCTTGTGATCAGTGGCCACTGAAATAAGGATGTGATGCTCTTTAGTGTTTATACTGCTGTAGAAACATTTTCAGTCTCTACTTCTCTGTGCCAAAGTCCTTGCCTTCAACCTAGACCAGTTAGAGCAGACAGAGGGTGCTGAACTCTGGTTGGTCTTGCCCTGGAGCTGGAGGTTTGAAAATGCCATACAGAGGATTCCCAAGCATGAGGCTTCTCTTAGAAAGGGCAAAAGGAAATGCTTCCTGGGTATAAGACTAATAATGTCCGTACATTTCCTAAAGTCTTTGTGTATATGCATGTTGTCTTGGTATTTATATATTTTCTTGTTTAGTGCTGACAGTAGCCAGGCGCATAGTTTATTTCATCTACTGCTAACCATAAACCAGTGAGGGAGATGCAGTACTTTTCCCTATGTGGTGGAAAGCTAAGACCAAGATTGGTCAAGTGACTTGCCCAAGGTCATACAGCACACAGGTAGAAGCATGGAGACTTGAACACAGGCATTCTGGCTCCGCACTTTTAACCACTGGGCAGTTCTGACTCCTACATTGCTTCCCGTGGGTTAGTTCTCTCACCTCCAAGCCATGTTAGAAGCTAGAGATTGGACTGGGTTGGAAATGTTTCGCTGTTCCTACAGTCTTTGCATGAATCAGGCCCCTAACAGAGATACCACAAGTAGCAGAATGATGTGTATCAATTAAAAATCATCTTTCTGTCCCCAGATCCTAACAACTATTATCACCGACGGAACGAAATGACCACCACTGATGACCTGGACTTTAAGCACCACAACTATAAGGAAATGCGCCAGGTAAGGCCCACAGCATGATGACTCCTGCCAGGAGTTGGTAAGAGAGCAACAGAACATGTGCCCGTAAGCACTTCTGTTCTTAAGAAATTAGGGTGGCTGTATGAGAGACAGGGATTTGAGTTTCAAGGCTGAGATGGCTTCCCTGGGATTTGGGTGTCTAGAGCAAGTCTCCTGGGTAGCAAGTGGTTGAAACAGAATTCAAATTCAGCCTTTTCTTACTTAATACCCTAAGTTCCTAAAACCACTGCATGTCTGAATGAGATCCCTGATTGAAGGATGCTGGCTGTGTGTGGAGTTGGAGGAGAGAAAGCATCTAGGAAAACACACTGGGCTCAGCCATCATCTCCCACTAATATACTCAGTCCTCCCTGCAGCTGGGAGAGAAGGGGCCGTGGTTATTCTTTCTCACAGATGGGGAAGCTGAGCCAGCACTATACCAGACAGCACGACTCTTCGTATTCAGATTCTCGGCTTCGGCATGGTTGCCTATAAGAATCACCAGGGGGGTTTTTAAAAAGCACCTATACTTAAACCTGTAAATAAAGCATAATCTTTAGGAGAACTGCCTGAGAACTCACATTTCAAAGAGCTCTTCTTTCCCTTTACTAAACGGCCAGGTTTACAGCTTCTGTTTGATTCTGAGTACAGTTGGAAGGAAGAAACCAGATGAGATGTTCTCCAGGTTTAATCACAGAGACCCAGTAATTCTCAGACCTGGTGGCCTGTGCATGCCAGCAGGAAGAGGGGAAGAGGCCACTGCAATTAGAACAAGTGGAAAGGGCTGAGTGCATTGCCTCTGAATCCTGTTCTATGTCCGCCCCCGGAATGTGCTAGAAACTGCCAGGACGTGTGGGCAAATGAGAAATCCTTAGAAACCTGTGAATCTGTTTGAAGAGACAGAATAGGAAGAGATGTCCTCATGTATACACTTACAGGACAAGGAATCACCAAGGACAAAGGAATATGGCTCAAAGGAAGGGCTCATAGGTGCCAAGGGAAAGAGCCAGCTATCCAGGACCGATGCAGGAGGCTTTCTGAGATCCAGACTGTAGCCCCACAGAATGAACATGCCTGGGTTATCTCAATGTCATTTAACTTGAGATGCACACACACAGCTTCCAGACACCTGTCAGCACAGACTTGGAGGTGGGATGTGCTAACAAACTCCTCTTGCTGTCTTGCTCTTCAGAAACTGAGATAATGTGTTTGGACTTGAGATCTGTAATTCATGCCTGCTTCTCCACATTTTCAGAGTATTTGTGTGGCTGTTCTCAGCTTCATCTTTGGAAGCACTGGTGGATAACTAGCTTGCTCATTGGACATCTCAGGACATCTTGCAGGGTCCACAAATGAGACAGATAGCAACTTGGCACAATTAATGTCAAGAGCAATAAATCTAGGTGATTGCACAGACAGTCTGAGTGCTGGCATCTTTGAACAGTTGTCCTCTGTGGAGAACAGGGTTCTTATATGCAAGGAAAGCTGGTGAAGCATGCGTTATCGCATGAGGGAACTCTGATCACCATTCCTTGAGAACACTTAGGATCACCAAAAAGCCCATGTCAGAGGACCCTGGCTGAATCCTCTGAGATTCCACTGCCCAGGAGCACTCAACTCGAAACCACTGAGAGAAGCATCTCTCAAAACTGACGAGTGTTCAAGCCAGAAGTGATTTGCCATTTGGATTTCTGGCTCCTGAGAATGGGAAAAAAGACAGACAGCATTTTTAGCAATTTCAACATATGGAGTCTCCCAGGTTACTGTAGAAAGCATTCTATCTCAAGGGGGAAATGGTTAGTTTATCCTACTATTGAAAGAGACTTTACAATAAAGGGGAAAAAAATGAGAAATAGCAGCAAGAAATGAGAAAACAGCAAAGCTTGTGATATTATAAGAGGACAGTGATGAAAATGTGCACGTCTCCCCTGTACAGTAAATCTTTTTCAAGCACTGACTTGTAAGGCTCTGATCCAGGCAGAAGGGAGATGAGACGGCTGGGATGAGGCAAGGAAGCACAGGGGAAGGTGAAGGTTATCCAAACATTGATACTGTGATGCAGAGTGGGAGAATTGTACCAAGAGGATACCGAAAGTTTCCAGAGCACGCACCACAGTTTGTAATTGCTTGGTTGCTTGTTTATATATATACATTTTCTGCTTCCTTTACTTGTGATAAAAGCAAAGGCTCTGTTAGTTTCTCAAAGTCCATAATACATGATTGATCAATACATATATTTGAGATCATTATAGGCACAATGAATGGGAGGGGAAGCCATTAGTGTGAGTGCCCATAACTGAGAAAGACTTTGCTTGTAGGTGGGAGTAGAGTTGTTCAGGGTGTGTGGCCAGGCTTTGGGAGGCAGCAACAGAAGGAAGGGGCTCCAGGCAGAGAGAACACAAGGAGAAAAGATATGCAGGTAGGTGTGCATAGGTATTTTTCTGAAACAACTGGACTGGCAGTCTGCTGGGAGAAGTGGCTGGTCCTGAGTCTGAGTCTATGAAATTATTTTCATGAACTGTGTTTCTTCTCTGTATGGAGAGAGTAGTGAGTAATACCAGGGCCTCCAGAGCCCAGATAATTTATGAGGAGGTGTTTCTGAGGTCACTGACAAGTCCTAAGTGACCTGTTGGAGTAAGATGGGGAGAGAAAGGGATGTGGCATGCTCCTATGGAGGAATGAGGTACCTTTTCCAGGAAGGAAAGAAGTGGGTTTGAATGAAAAGTATCACTTGCCTTTGGTTTTGGGTAGTGTTGCCCATTCCAAATGCTCAGGAAATATTGGTTGGTTGGCTCTGAAATGTGTGATGCAGGCAGACAGAAGTGAAGTAATGAGCATGGGTGGTAAGGCATCTGGCTAATGACACTGATTTTCAGGGCAGCTGAGGATGACCAAGGGCATCAGGCTGTTGGGACAGAAGTCCAATCTGCCCACTTGCTCCATGCTCGGCCTAACCCTGGGGCTGAGCATGGTGACAGGAAGCCAGGGCAAAGCAGAGTGCAGCAAGATGCTCTTACTGTGTTTTCCTCTCTCCTCCCTCCTTTTGGGTTTCCTTTCCCATTGGGCAAAGGAGAAAAGAGGATAGGAGAGAACTTTTTTCTTTTCTGCCACCTTTCTTTTTTTAAAGACATTTTCATTCACTGGACAAACATTGTTGTATCAACATCAAATACAAGCCAAAGTCTGATAAATCCTCCATAAACTCTCTGTGCTGAAAAAATCACCACTTTCCATTTTCCACTCATGTCTCAGTCTGTTCATACTATGGTAACAAAATACCAGGGACTGTGTAATTTATAAACAATAGAAGTTTATTTCTTATAATGCTGGATACTGAAAGTTCAAGGTCAAGGCATCAGCATGTTCTGTACCTGGTGAGGGTGACTGTCTACTTTCAAGATGGCACCTTGTTGCTGTGTCCTCATATCATAGAAAATGGAAGGCAAAGTGCCCAGCTAATTCCTTTGAGTTCCTTTATAAGAACACTAATTCCATTGATAAAGGTAGAACCATTGTGATTTAATCACCTCCTAAAGGGTCCACCCCTCTATACCATGGCATTGGGCCTCAGGTTCCAGCATATGGTTTGGGGGGGATTTATACCCTCATATCTTAGTACCTCATTTCTATCCAGTCTTTGAACTTCTGTGTTCACAGAATCACATGATTTTGATCAGAAGATAGTCACATCTTTGCTCTGCATTTCTCAGTTCACACTGGATCATTAACATTTCCCCTGCTGTCTTCATAGTTGTAATTGGGGTGCAGAAGTGTGTGGTCTGAGAGTGGAGGCAGCATAGTTTCTCAGCCTTTTTCCTGCTCCGAAGCTCTTAGATGTCTCCCAGCTTTTAATGAATATGACAGAGGAGAAAATATGCCACAAGAAGTGTCAGCATGTGTATAAATTTTCCATTCATTATGAATAATTTCCTTCTGATGTATTGCTAGAAAATGAGTTACTAGAAAAGAGGTTTGTTATTCTCTTTCCTTTGTTAGAGGAGGGAAACAGAGGAGCCTAAAATACAATAGATACCAGAGGGGCAAAATTTATTCCCTTCACAGAATCGAAGAAACAGGTCTTGCAAACCCGGGGACTCTCTAAGGCACCCTCCCTCAACCTGTTGTCATATTGTCTCTCTAGGAAAACTTGTTAGATATTTTTCCCTTAATCATCCTCTCCTCCATTATATCAATTGTAAGGAATAAATTTTTTCCAGGTAGAGTTGAGCTTTGGCAGGCCACAGAGTGCTGTAATATCAAAGGTCTATTTTAGACTTGAAGCGCCAATTATCTCACCCCTGTGGAGAACGCATGCTGTAAGCCATGAGGAAAACTACTCCCTTGCTCTCTCTGTAACTATCAAGACTGTACATTTACCACAAATACAAAGAGCCAGATTCAATGAGGAAGATTTGACTATTTTTAAGAGTAAGCAGTTGTACTGTCTTATAAGGCACTTCATTCTAAGGGAGGAATTTGTTCCTAGTGATATCTCTGCGTGCTTTGCCGGGAAGGTCAGGATGGATCACCATACACATCTTTCATGGTGCTAATGGCCATTGGAAAAATGCTTCCTGGCATTCACAATGCTGCTGTGCAGGGAGAATTGTAAAGGACTTTCCTAAAGAAGATTCTTCTAATGTCCGTGTTCTCATGAGGGAAAGATGCTTTTGATACTGTAGTGTGATGGCATGCAGTTTAGTTAACAGCCAGCACTGCATGTGCAGAGGGAAAGTGGGGGTGATGTGAAAATACTACAGTGGGGTAGAGTATAAGGAGGTGGATTTGATGTTTATGGCCCAAGAGACTTCTCATACCTGTGGGTAAGCATGCATTCTGAGGGAAGATGATGGACTTCCAGCACCAAGCTCATGATCTCTAGGACTGACAGCATGTTGCTCCTGCAGCTAATTGAAAGGGGGAGAAGTACCACCAAAGGACAGCCAGGCCTGGGTTGAAAGCTTGCATTTGTCGCTTCGCTAGTGATGAACCCCATGGTCCTCGTGACTGCAGAACACCTGCAGGGACTAGTACATGGTGCCTCAAAGAATACAGTGAGTGCGCTGTGGCCAGTTTTCAGAGTAGTCCCAGTGTGTACCAGACATAATGGACAGTAAGATGTGCCAGCTCTCTTTGCTGTACTGCACCTTCATGGGCACATACCGTGGCAGAAAGAGCCCTAAGAACTCAAAGTTCTGGCTCCACCTGTACTGGCTTGGTAACTTAGCAAAGCATCCAGTGTCTCTCTGAACTTCAGTCTCTGTGTTTGCAGAATGGGGACATGACGTCTGTCTTATCTGCTTACCTGGTGGTCCTGATGGTGATCTTCAACGGAGAACAGAATACCTTCATACTGCTCTTGTTAACATTATTAGTGACATGGTGGCTGTATCATTTGTTCAGTTGTGGCACTGACTAGTTGTAGCTCCAGTCATCCCCTCAAACTATTTATCCCTTGTCATCACGGGCATAGAGACTGCATTTCCACTGCATGTCACTGCTCCCTGTATGGTGGCCATCTGTGTCGACTGTCTCATAAACAAGCATCCTTAGTAATCAGTTTTCTCTCACCTAAATATTGTGACACAAAGTGAATTATTGTAAAGTGAAGCATATTTTTTGACTCTGTAACTGAGAAAATTAGACCCTGAATTTCCAACCATGCTTGTCCCTTCTCATAGATGTGTCATAAAGCCAAGCTATAGCCATGATAAAGCTTCCCACCTCTTCGGAGCTGCTCCTTAAACCCACTCTGCCTGGTTATTACAAAATGTTGTGTTATGAAAGGCAAATGAAGCACACAGTGTTACAAATACACTGTATCATAAATTCTGCATAACGCCAATTTTCCACTTGTAATAGATTTTAACCCACCATAAATTTGCAACAGATTTGTTTATTTATAGTTTACAAGGACATTTTATGGATAATTTGGCTGATCAGGAGGTTTTTGGAAGATTGTTCACGCACATAGAGGTCTGTGCCATCTCTCTGGAGACGGTGCCCTTCCTCTGTTCTCAAGGAGGAGCTCCAGCTCATCTTTAAACCGAACAAAACCCTCCCTAATGAGTACCTGCCCTCCCACATCCCTGGCTGCGGTGTCCTTTCTCTCTGCTCCTGCAGCACCTGAGAATCCCTCCTTTCAAAGTGTGGATGTGAAATGGTCCCATGAAGACTCTCCCCTCCACCATACATGTAGGGCCTCATTAGATGCCTAGCAAGGAACAGACCCCTCAGTAAACACTGAATGAATGCATAATGTCCTTGAAATGAGGTCGTCTTGCACTTGAGCATCATTAAAAAAGTTTAACCCAGCAAATCAAGCTACTTAAGAGCTAATGCACAGCAACTTGTTCAGTGATGTGAGGCAAGGCAGCCTCTGGGGAGAGGGTATCTCTGGTCCTCTGCCCTGAAGGTTGGCTTGTTCTTTTGGAGCTAGCAGAGCCCTTGTTATCTTCTCTGGCAGCTTTTGTCATTTTTTCCGACCAAAGCTGTCAGTCTGACTAGATGACTGTAAAACACAAATCCAGAAAGCAGCTTATATGTACAGTATTTCACTTTTGTGCTGCAGCCTGCTTTGCCCACTGTTTAACCCATAATGCCTGTTACCATGGTCACCATGTGTTGTCCTTACTCAGGAACCATGAAGTGGGTCATCACATGCCTCCCATCTGTAGCTGTACTGCCTGCTCCAGGAGGGCAGATGTGGTGTTTGTCTTATCAGCCTCGTCACTGTCAGCCTCTACAGCTCATTAAAGTATGAAAAACCTGACGTTCAAGAAATATTTATTTGAGCAATTAACATCCAAAGATATATATTAAGAAAGCAGGAAAACACATTAAAATAGTCACTACCAAAGGAAGTGACAACCACAACCAGGGAGATGATAACTGTAGCCAGGGAGGTAATAACCACAACCAGGACAGGCAAAAACCACACCCAGGGTGGTGGAAACCACAACCAGGAAAGAGGACATCTTAGTTTGTTTGGACTGTTGTAACAAAAATACCACAAACTACATGGCTTCCAAACAACAGAAATACATTGCGTGCAGTTCTGGAGGCTGGAAGACCAAGATCAAGGCACTGGCAATTTCAGTGTCTGGTAAGGGCTCACTCTGTAATTCGTAGATGGAGGCTTCTCACTGTGTCCTTAGGCAGTGGGAAGGACAAAGAAGTTCCCTGGAGCTTCTTTTATAAGGATGCCCTTCCCAATTATAAGGCTCCACCTGGTAACCTAATCACTTTCCAATGGCTTCTCCACTTAATTCTATTGTATGGGTGATTAGATTTAACATGTAGATTTGGGGAACATGAGAATTTGGAGGTGATAACCACTAGTAAGAGGTGCTGAGAGTGCAGGGCTGGGTGCAGGCAACAGCCAAGAGTTTCTCTTTGGAGGAGATGACACAGGTAAGCATTGGCAGAGAAGGTGGACATAATCTCAGGGAAGGGGCACTAGAAAGGCATTCTGGGCAGAGGAGCAACAGCTGAGGGGTCTATGGAGGGGGTAGGAAGTGGCTGTCCTCTTAGAAGCTCTATAAAATTATTTACAACCTTTCATTTGCTTTGTTCAGCTGATGAAGATTGTGAATGAAATGTGCCCCAATATCACCAGAATTTACAACATTGGCAAAAGCCATCAGGGTTTGAAACTGTATGCTGTGGAGATCTCTGACCACCCTGGAGAGCATGAAGTCGGTAAGGAGGGCCTCTCCCTTATGAAGCTGAGAGATGGCTTTCCCATGTGTGGGAACATTCATGAAGCAGTACCTGAGCCAGCTATAAAACAACCATCTCTTGTAGACAGATTATGCAGACAGATAAGTTTGGGGGGCTATGAACCTCTCATCTTATGACAAGAGCTGCTGGAATATTTAAGCTAGAAATACTCTCCTTTTCTCCCAAGGCACCATATTTGATTGTGTATTTTTTGCCTCTGAGACCACTCATAACAGCCAAAGAAGACAGTAGCTAAGGATAGCTAGGACAGACTCTACTTCCAGGAAGACATTCTGGACTCTGATCCTGGATGGTGGTTCCCTATAATTTATTCATTTTTTAAAATGTCAGCCCTATCTTCAAGCATTTCTTGTTTTCAGTCACTTCCCCTTCAATTCCTCCACAATCTGATTTCCAGCAGGCTGGGTGGTCTCTCTGCTTTTTTGTTGTTTTGTTCTGCTTTTGCAAATCTGGGAGCTTCTCAGAAATCCACTGAAATTTAGGGGCAAATTTCTCTGATCCACTCAACTATAGCTTTCCTCTGTATCTCAGGTGTTCTCTCAGGAGTCGCTTTCAAGGGGCAAAGGCCTTTTCTTTGGCTAAGGTCACCTCTCTTTATAAGTAGCAACTTGGACTAAGAGGGAAGAAGTGTTAGCCCATGCCCAGCACATAGAGCTTACATCTGGGTCTGTTCAGTTGCTGTAACAAAATGCTTGAAACTGGGTCATTTATAAACAGCAGAAATTTATTTCTTACAGTTCTGAACACTGAGAAATGAAAGGTCAAGGTGCCAGCAGATTCAGTGTCTGCTGAGGGCCAGTTTCTCTTATGGCTCCTTTTAGCATGGTAGAAAATAGAAGGGCAAGAAGACTTGGGTAGTACCATTGAGCACTTTTGTAAGGGGAGTAATCCTTAGTTACCTCCCAAAGGCCTCACCTCTTAATACTGTCACAGGGGCCTCCATTCCAGCATTTGAATTTTGGAGGGACACATGCACTGCATTAAGCCATAGTGCCCCTCACAGTTCAAAAGCTGAGCTTTGAAAGAGGAAACACTCAAACCCTTTTACCAAAGTGTGCCCATGCTGACCTGCCTGTAGGACTATTTTCTGCTTGTGTTCATTTACCTTTGTGTTCTTGTAAGACTTTGTAGGGTGTTCCTTTAGGAAGAACAACTGCAGGCCTGGGACATAGCTCAATGGTAAAGTGCTTGCTTAGCATGTTCAAGGCCTTGGGTTGTTCCATCCCTAGTGGTAGAGAAAGGGAGAGAGGGAGCAAGGGAGACAGAAGGAGAGAGAGGGAGAGAAACAGAGAAACAGAGAGAAACAGAGACAGAGAGAGACAGCAGAGAGAGAGAGAGAGACAAGAGATGGAGAGAGACAGGACAGAGACAGAGACAGAGAGAAAAAGAGAGAGAGAGAGAGAAAGAGAGAGAGAGGGAGACAAGAGATGGAGAGATGGAGAGAGACAGGACAGAGACAGAGACAGAGACAGAGAGAAAAAGAGAGAGAGAGAGAGAGAAAGAAAGAGAGAGAGAGAGGGAGAGAGATACCCTAAACACTGTCTTACTTTATCTATTCTTGCTAAATAATGGGCTTGATTACCCTATGGCTAATTTCATCTGAGGATTTTCTATGCCTTTACTTACATACCTGACTATTTGAGAACACAAAAAAATTGATCTGATGTAATTTGGAACAATCTGAAAGAACAAATAGGGTATAATGATAAGTTATCTGGACAGTGTGACTGGCACCCTGTAGCCATAAGCCAGCTGTGCTGTCCTGCCTGTTTCTGTCCAGGGGAGCCTGAGTTTCACTACATTGCTGGAGCGCATGGCAATGAGGTGTTGGGCCGTGAGCTGTTGCTGCTACTGCTGCAGTTCCTATGCCAAGAGTACTTGGCCCGGAACACCCGCATCGTTTGGCTGGTGGAGGAGACGCGAATCCACATCCTGCCCTCCCTCAACCCTGATGGATATGAGAAGGCCTATGAAGGGGTAAGGGCACCTGTGCTCACCCAGTGCAGCAACAAGGCTCCAACCAAGTGTACTCAGCTCCAAGGTCCTGGGATCTCACCTTCTGAGCCTTCTTTTCCACTGTCTCTCTGCTAAGTTGGGGAAACCATGCAGTTTGTGAGGGATGCAGTGCAGAAATTGAGGCTTATGGTGACCCTGAGATGGGGACATGCCCACCAACTGGAAAGAGTTAGCGTGAATAGTAATGTCATATACGCAATGACAGTAGTAGATTACAGTAACACCTTGTGCTGATTGAGCACTCAAGGCATGCACTAACCTTGGTTATTATCTTTTTTGGAGAGGCCACTGGGGATTGAACCCAGGGAGCTCTGGGCTACATCTATAGCACTTTTATATTTTTATTTTTTATTTTGAGATGGAACCTTGTGAAGCTTCCCATGCTAACCTAAACTTGTGATTCTCCTGCTCAGATTTCTTAATAGCTGGGATTACTGTAGATGTGTCCCACCGTGTCTAGCTGGTTATGACCATTAATGATCTCATCAATTGTCACAGAATAGCTGTTTTTATTATTCCAAGGTATTATTTATATTTCACGTTGTAATTAAAAGACAGGTTTTGTTTAGGTCATAGGTATGTATAAAATATGCATATGTATATAATTATGTATTGATTATAGTTAGTATTATGTCATGTTGTATATCCATCATGATATAGTGCCATATCTATGAATAAAATGGGTAACTTTATTAAAACAATGGCAGCTATCAAATGCAAGCTTTATGACACAGAATTTTGGATGTATTTACTGGAGTCAATGGTTGGAGATTTACAATACTAAGTAGCCAGAATCACGGACAGGACAGGGAGAATGTATTATACTACATCAGTACTATGCTGTGAATGCAATGGTGAAGTCTTAGGTTGCTTCTCACACAGAGGTTCTACTGAATAGTATAGGAGAAAGGAGGTAAGATGTGGTAGAGGGAACTTAATGCCTTTGAGTACCATAATGAGGCAAGAGTAGCTTTCTTGGGAGTGATTTGGCTGTATTATCAATCACCCACCAGACATATTAGTAACAGGGTCTTCAATATTCTCCTATGGATGCCGTCTTTGGATCAATGGGTGTATGGAGGCTTAGACACACAGTCAAGTGTAGAAGGATATAGGTGCATCTTATATGGTGGGGAGTCTGTGTTTTCCTGAAGTCTTTGGTCCTTCAGCCTCTGAATCATGTCTCAGGGCTCAGAGCTGGGAGGCTGGTCTCTAGGACGCTGGACCCACGATGGAATCGACATCAACAACAACTTTCCTGACTTAAACACACTACTCTGGGAGGCAGAGGATCGGCAGAATGTCCCCAGGAAAGTTCCCAATCATTACATTGCCATCCCTGAATGGTTTCTGTCTGAAAATGCCACGGTGAGTAAAAACATCCCCATCTGCAGATCAGTGCATGGCAAAGACCTCCATGCTGGTATTTACCAAAGATAGTACATCTAAGAACTAGACAAAACCATTTGTTTTCTTTCTTGTTTTCTCTAAAAGTAAGGAAGCATGTTAGGTAGTAACCATGTTTTAAATTGATATTTAGGAGATTCTTTGTAGAAATCATTTAATTATTTCTTTACAACTACTCAGCGCTTCCAAACAAAACAAACTGCTCAGAATTACATGTGTTTGTTTGTATCACTATTTTCCTCATCATTGTCAGTTCTGCTTCCCTGAAATGAACAGCCTTCACTGGCTGCTTGTAGATCTCATTTTTATTCAAACAAATCCCTGTGAATGTATTGCATAGTGTGCTTTTTTGGAAAGATAAATGAAGTTGGGCAAAAAATATTACCCAAAGTTTCTTAGCTCTTGAATCACAAAGAATGCAGTATAAAAGAAGCAATTCTCATGAAATAGCTCGTGCCTTTGACTACCTCTCTTTCCTCCCTTTGCTTATACATGACTTTTAACAGGATCACCATAGCTGGTGCATACATTAGTGTTAGGTTCAACTGCAGCAACAGAAAATCACAATCACAACAGAAAATCACATTGTTTATCAAGGTAGAAGTTCACTCATTTTTTCATATGACAGGGCCCTGAAGACAGAGGCCCAGGGTTGGCCAAAAAGAAGCCCCATGATCAAGAACTCAGGATCCATCTGTCTTCCTGCCTCTACCATGTTTCAATCTCAAGCTCATAAACCAAGGTGGTAGCTGATGCTCTAGCTTTTATGACTGTGAAGTAACAGAAAAGAAAGGGCTTTTTCATTGAAAAAGAAATCCCCCTCTCTGATAATTTAGTTTTCTAAGAGGCTTTCCTAGATCCTTGTATAGACTTCTACTGAAGTCTTACTGACCAAGATTTAGTTGCACAGGGCATTGAACCCTGCTGGGAGGCTGGGGAATGCTGTATTTTAGGTGGGCACACTGCAAGCTGTGATGAGGACTGGAATCCTCTCCTGAACAATCATGGGAAATGGCTGGAGGGCAGCACCTAGCCCACTTCAGAGCTCCAACACACACAGTCCATCTTGTACTGGGAGAGAGTTGTACTGGTGGTCTCAGTGAGTGACTCACAGTGTGGTGCAATACAGAGCCTTAAAACCAAGAAGTGCAAGCAGTCAGCTGATGGTGGAGACCATGACAGTACCCAAGGCTTTAGTGAGAATACCTAAAGGTGGCTGATGAGGAAAAGATTTAGACCTCTGAGTTTTCTGAACCCATCTTTATAGTTCCTGTCCTGATCCAAATGATCTGTTTTTATTTTCTCAACTAACATCCTAATGACACCTGACACAGTTGAGAATTTAAGTGATGTTATATTTTGGGAATCCTTGGATCAAAATTGGAATCTGACTGCTTGCTGGCTTTCTTACACCTGAAACCCTAAAAGATGACTAATTATTTCAGCACAGCAGTACAAAGCTCCCTGGATTTCAGTCTTTGCTTTAGAGTTGGAATTTAGTTTTTAAACCTTGTTATTCTCTGGCACTATAAAGAGAACTACACAAGTGTATCATCACTAATACCTTTCTCAGTTATGGATTGGTTAGATGGATAAGAAGTCAGCAAAAGTAAGATTTGAGTAACAAAGCTAACAGTCTGGATGTAAGGAATCTATAAGAATTTTACAGCAAGACATTAGAGAATATTCTGAATAATCCTAGAACATTTTCAAAAATTGGTGATGAATGGGACCATAAAGGAAATCTGAATAAATTTTAGAGAATAGGACGCAGATGATGATCTAACACTTTACCACTAATCTGGGAGACAATAATAAGATTAAAGAGACCACTGCTGTGAAGATTTTTAAAACCTTTACATAAGGGGCCAGAGGAAAAAGAACTCATTCCAGCAAATGAAAATGAATTAAAAGTAGATGATGATAAAAACATTACATATTTAAATCTCTGAAAAAGAGCAAAAAATAGTGCTTTAGGAAACTTATACTTTAAGTGGTTACATTACAAAAGAAGAAAGGCTGAAAATTAACTATTTTAAGAAGTTAGCAAAACAATAGGAGAAAAAACCCAAATCAATGAAATAATAGAAGACAAAAAATGAAGTAATTTGTCTGCAGAAAGAAGCATTTGATAAAACTTATCACTCACAGTAAGTTCTCAGTGAAACTTTAGGCTATAGATGATTAGTTTTCAAAGCAAAAAAAAGTCTGTCTTAAATAAGATGCACACAGCATTAATCATACCATAAAAGATTAATAAGTTGAACTGCATCCAAATAAGAAAGTCTACTTATCAAAAGACTGAATAAACTATAATGACAAATGGTAAACTGGGAGAAGTTATTTGCAAATTATGTAACTGAGAATTACAATTTTTAAAAATATGTAGACTAACAATAAGATAAGTGTAAACAACTCATTAGGAAATTGGGCAAAAGATATGTAGAGGCAGTTCACGGAGGAGGAAACATATGGCTGATAAGCACGGAAAGGTGTTTCGCAGCAGTAGCACTATGGAAATGGAGATGAAGGAACATTTTACATCTATCACCTGGCAAAATGAAGAAGTCTGACAATGTCCAAATGTCCGACAGGATGGAGACCTTGGGTTCTTTACTCATACAGAGTGAGTGCAAATTAGTGCAATGACTTTGGAAAATAATTTGATTACTTTGTAAAATAGGAATATTTATATCCTTTAAAGATACATACAGATTTCACTTCTGGTGATATATGCAAGATAGAGTTTCAGCTCATGTATCCCAGAAAACAGTACAAGAAAGTCCATGACACACTCTTCATGATAGCAAAGCATTGAAAATTACTTAATGCCTAGCATCGTGAGCTTAGATAAGTGAAATCTTCATGTTGAAATGAAAAGAACTGAAGAATGTTTTCAATCAACATCAAGGATTAATCTTAGAAACTCATACTTCAATTAACATCAAGGATCAATCTTAGAAACATAAAATAAGTGGGAAAAAGTACAAAAGACAACTAGAATTCCTTTTTTTTCTCCTTTAGATCTAAAGGAAGTAACATCAAGCAGTGTATTTGTAGACATTCACATATGGATAAAACAAAAGAGGGAGAATGAGGATTGTGCATCCAGGATGCAGTGTTTTCCTCTGCAGACGAGGCCAGAGCATGAGATGGATGGAGTCAGAGCTGCTCCTGAGGTTCAGGTCTGGGGTGGGATGACAGCTTTGTAACACGGGCCATTGCTGAGGCTGTGGGAGGAGCTGAGTTCCATGATTAACTCATTCTAGGGTCCCTGTTTGTGTTTGTAAAACAAAAACGAAGCTTAATGAATCCCAGCAAGTGCATTGCATCCTGAATCAGCTTTTATCCTGCACAGTTAAATGATTTCCAGTATTTATTTCTCCATCATTATCAACTTTATCTTCCTACAGTTTTCCTCACAGAGATTAGTAATTTATGGTAGATGTTTAATTTACCAATCAGATCAATATTTGACCATAACAGACTTTTCAAGTTTAGCTTTTAATCTTGTCAGTTTTCTTTCTTTTGTCTTACCTGCTTTTTTGTGTGTGTGTGGGGGGGAAATGTCAAATACACAGAATTTGAGAAAGCTGTAGAGGATCCACATGTTCCCCGCGTCAGCTTTGACAATTACCAATTCATGTTTCGTCTGCACCTTCTCCCACGTTTTCTTCTTCCCCTTCTGACTGAAGCAAGTCCCAGGCAGCATGTCATTTCATTTATAAATATTTCAGTAAGTATTTCTAAAAAGTAAGGACTCTTTTAAGCCATAAGATACCACCATTATATCAAAATAAGTTTTTCATAATATTATAAAAATCCAGTTGATGATAAATGATTACACTGGTTAAACTAAATGATAATCAGCCATAAGATTATCACTGTCATATAAAAATAAGTTATTTCTTAATATTATAAAATATCTGACAAGTGTTTGCATTTCCTGTTATTGATCAGTGAATTCTCTCTCTCTCTGTGTGCATCTCATCCTCTATTTCTCTTTCCTTCCTCTCTCATTCCTCTTTACTGCTCAGTTGTTTAAAGTAAGATTCAAATAAATCCCATTCATTTTGATTCTCTTAAATCTTTTCAAGTCTCTTTCTGCCCTTTTCCCCTTGCAATTTCTGCATGGTTATTTACCTTGCTTATCCACATTCTCTGTCACGTGCTGTATACTGTGGGAGCAGGTGATGGCGTTTCTGTGATGTCATGTGCACATTACTCTGTATCTTGTATGGCAGTGAAATTAAGACTGAACTAGACTTGACAGAAAAGGCAGTGGCAAACGGCAGCCTAGGCCACGCCACACTTATGCCTGTTTTTATAAATGGCGCACCTTTGGGTTTTGTCCATGTGCTTCTTTGCTAGAAGGGCACATTAGGTAGTTGTGACAGGGAGTGCATGGTGCACAAAGCCTAAAACATTTACTATTTGGCCTTTTGCACAAAGTATCTTCCAACACCTGGGCTGGAGGCTGGAGGCTGGGTCGGGTTTAGGGAAGATATTTTTAGGTGTGTGCTCTTCCACTGGGAGGCATGCTGTGTTTGATCATGTCCCTTTCTTGTGCTATATGTAGCTGTGAATGAACATGCCTGTCTCATAAATTTACTGGAATCACAGAATGCTACTTTATTATTTCTTCTTTGGCACCAACTGAAATACCCTATAATGGAAACTAGTCACTTCCCTGCGCTTTATCTTTTTTATCCATTATTTCCACAAAGCTATTTTTCCCAGGATAGATTTTAAAATTCTAAATATTTCTTAGATTATTCCATAAAATTGCTGCTTTTTACAAATATGCCCCTGTTTTGGAAGCGAGGGAGGTAAAGCACTTTCTTACTTTATTTGTTGACTTCACATTCATAGGTGGCCATGGAGACCAGAGCTGTCATAGCCTGGATGGAAAAGATCCCCTTTGTGCTGGGTGGCAACCTTCAGGGGGGCGAGCTGGTGGTGGCATACCCTTACGACATGGTGCGGTCCCAGTGGAAGACCCAGGAGCACAGCCCCACACCCGATGACCACGTGTTCCGCTGGCTGGCATATTCATATGCCTCGACACACCGCCTCATGACAGATGCCCGGCGGAGGGTGTGCCACACAGAAGACTTTCAGAAGGAGGAAGGCACTGTCAATGGGGCTTCCTGGCACACCGTCGCTGGAAGTAAGTCTCAGATCAGTTCTGCCTGACATCACAGGGACTAATGATCATGACTGTCAGCCCAGCAGGATCCCTATAGGTACCACACACACACACACACACACACGCACACACACACACACACACACACACACACACACACACCTCCTTTCAGCCTGATGCTCAGTCCCATTGCAAATAGTAGCCACCATAATTAAGTAATTACCAGGTGCCAGCCCTTTACACAGATTCTCCTTTGTTCCTTACCATAGTCTTTGAGGTGGGGTGCCTTTTCCCTCATTTTATAATGAGATTACTGGGCCTTAGAGACCTGGTTAGGACCTGCTCAAAAAGAAAGGAGTAGAGATGAGATCTCTTGGTCAAAATTTTAGCCACTGAGCTATTCAGATTTTATAAGAAAAATAAAATGGGTGAAAGTGGACTTTTAACTTGAGAGAAAACCCAGTGAAGGGGCAGAATATGTGAGTACTGGTGCTGAGGTTATGGCTTTATACCAAGTGCTCTTCTTATATTGGGAACGTCCCTTGCTGTGGGCCTATGAAGGGGCTGGGTACTAATCCTCAGGTCAGGTGTGAAGTGACTGAGCTGGAGGTGTGTTCTGCGACCCCCTAATGTGCTAAAGACCATTTCATATGTATCCACTATGCACTGGAGGCCGGCAGGTCTCACCCGTGGCATGCGTGGACCATGGAATATGAGGTGTTGCTTCTGGGACCAATCTAGGTCTGGAGAACATTCTAGTACAGACTTTGGGAGTTGCTTCACAGCAGCCAGGGGATCCTACAGTCCACATGTGAGGATTAGGGCTTAGTTTCCTATCTCAGGCTATTCCCAGTCCAGGGCTCCCAAAGCAAGAGGTATAAGATAGTACATTCCTTTCGCACTGATTGGAGTGCAAGATCTCAGCATAATGCTTATACCTTATTTTTTGTCTTTTGGAGACTTTGTTAAACCAATGATGAATTTGAAAAAAATATTCTATGTCAGATAGTCTGGTTTTAAATCCAGCTCTACCACTTGGATGCTGTGTGACTCTCTGCAAGTCACTGTACCTCCCTGAGCCCCTACACTTTTTCCTTAGTAAGCTGGGCACCATGGTAATGATTACAGTGACAACAATGCTTGTGACAATGATGGTGTTATCTCTCTCTAGGATACTGTGAGGATTGTGTAGCTGACAGATGTGGATGTGCTCAGTGTCTGGCATATCAGGAACACTCAGAATAAGTTCTCATTCCCTGCCCCTTCTGTCTTTCAGGGCATGCTCACCATGAAATCTCTTTTATGGATTCACATATTCTCTGTTTCACTATAACAATTAACTTCGATATTATTTAACTTTCCTAGAAATTCAGCCTTCTACTTTTCATGTATGTTTCCACCCTCAGAAAAGAAAAAATACAGAAATATTTGTTCACACGGTCATGTAAAAACACTCAAAGAAAGCTCACCATGTTTTCTTGATTGCAGACCAAATGGAGGTATTTTTTTCATCACCATCATGATTTTGCTGTGTACAAAATAGAAATAAAATGCAAATCTCTATCAAGAAAATTTCCTAATGGCAGAAAACATATTTAATGTTCAGCTTTACCTCTCAAAACCTACCTACATAAATCTTTAATCCATACTTTCTGTGGCTAAACTGGGTCTGGACACAGCCAGATTTCCTGGTGTCGGGTCAATAGTAATGTTACGGAACTTTGGCTTCCACACAATCATACATAGCATTTGACATTTGTTCTCTACCAGTTATGTTTTCCATTACATCAGGGACTTGGTGGCAGATCCATTTGGTAGCGCAAGCTATGGGAGTGTTATGGAGTCACAGATCCCTACTGTCTTTGTGTTTAGCTCTTTCTTTCTCTTTGTTGGTGTGCTGCAGGCAGTAGTTAATGATGAGAAGGGCAGTTGGGAGAAAGGTTCAGTAAATTTCAGTGTGCACATCATTAGTAGTACATGCATTTTAACTCCAAGGTGGTGTCAAGCTGTTTCTCAGCTACAGTCCTGAACCTGTCCTCCACAGGAAGGCAAGTGTTGGGGAGATTTGCACACAGAGCTCTGAGAAATGTGTAGTTCCAAGTTCCCTATTGAAGATGCCCAGGAGGTGAGTCTAGTCAAAGAAAGAACAAGAGGGATATCTTTCCCACATCCAGGACTGAAGGCTTATGAGAACTGCCCAGGTTGTGTCTCAGCTCCGTGTCTACAGCATATCAGGCAGGAAGCAGAGGCAGCCCACACTGGAATGTGCACTTAGGACATTTATTTAAGTACTAGCAAGGCCTAAGAGAGTGGGAAGCATGAGATGCAGAGGAAAGTCTAGCACTCTTGGGAGTCAAGACCTGTTCTACCAAGTGGAGCTGTTTCCCGTTAGCTCCATATGCCCTCTGATTCCACACTGTGGGGTTTTTGAGTTTTGTTTGTTTTGTTTCATTTTTGCAGTGTAGAAGATTGAACCCAGGGCCTTCACACTGCACTTTGTCCTCAGCACGTTTTTTGCTTGTTTTTTAAGACAGGGTCTTCCTAAATCACTAAATTGCTCAGGCTGGACTCAAGCTTGTGACCCTTCTATCTCAGCCTCCCAAATGCTGGAATTATAGGTATATACCAGCACACTGAGCCAACACACTGCAGGTTGACTGAATGGATTGGCCTGGTGTCGGCACAATCTTCCTCATCAGATCAGGCCCTTGCCAAGGATTTTTCCATGGACTTGACATTGACACTAACCTGCCTTTTCTAATCCACTGCTCTTCCTCTCCTTCAAGTTGTTACAATAGACCAGAAGTCCATGGCTGCCCATAGTGAGAGGTTGGAATCTGGAATCTGTCAATGTGATGGTTAAGCTTGATTGTCAACTTAATTGGACTGAGAAATGCTTAAGAAGTTAGTAAAGCATACTTCTGGGTTTATCTGTGAGTGTTTTCACAGATGATTGAATCATGAGACCTGTAATTTCAGCAGTGGATCAACCCATGAATGAGCTAATTAGGTGGCATTTTTGGAGGTGATGGAAACAGGCAATGGAGTCTAGTTGAAAGGAATTGATCACTGGGATGTGAGCTTATGGACTGTATCTAGTCCCTGGCCCATTTTCTCTGGCTCATTCCCTCACTTGGGCTTCCTGGCTGCTGTCAGGTGAGCAGTTTCGTCCCACTACACCCTTCCACCATGATGTTTGGCTTCATCTCAGGCCTACAGCAATGTGACCAGCCAACACACACTGAAACCTCTGAAACTATCATCCCAAATCGATCTTTCCTCTTTTAAATTATGTAAAGTATTTCATCACAGCAAGGAAAAGCTGACTAACACAGCTAAGGAGTGGCCATGTGTTTGGTGCTGTGTGCCTCTGACTTTGGTGATTAGGCAGTGAGGTGATATAGAGTTACTCTTGATAACCCAAAGCCTGATTGCAAAGCTGATATTTCTCCTGATCCTTATAGGAGACAGGGGTGAGGAGGAATAATGTCTAAGGTCTGTGCTGGTGAAGCCCTGGAGAGCCTGGTGCTTTTCTCAGTCCACATGGAGCCTGTGTGCCCAGCTCCACCTTTGTGATTGGCCCTTGGGAAGCTCGCTAGAGGAGCTTTCCCCAGACCATGGCTCCCTCTCTCACACAGAACAGTTAGCCTGTTCAGAAACAAAAATGTTGGAAAGGGCTGGGGGTGCAGCTTAGTGGTAGAGTGTATACTTTGTGCTTAGCGTGTGTGAAACCTTGGATTCAACACCCAGCACCAAAAAGAAAAAAAATGTTAAGAAAGCAATGAGTACCTTATGCTGTGTGCCACTCATTTATTCATTTCACAAATATTGGGTGGTTTTAGTGGCTTGAATGGTAGCCTTCCCCAAAAAATGTCCACTTCATAGACCATTGAACCTATGACTGTCACCTTATTGGAAAGATGGTCTCTGAGCATGTATTTATGATAAAGTCCTCAAAATGAGGTTGTCTGGGTAATCCAGAAGGTCCCCAAAGTCAGTGGGAAGTGCCTTTATAAGTAACAAAAGAAGACAGACAGAGACAAGAGAGGCAGTAATCGAGGGATGCCACCATAAGCTAAGTAATACTTGGGTCACCAGAAATGGAGGAGCCAGGAGGTCTTAGTCAGCTTTTTGTCACTATGACAAAATATCTGATATAAAAAGCTATAAAGAAGTTCATTTTAGCTCAGAGCTTCAGGGGGCTTCTGTCCATGGACACTTGGCTCCATTGATTGGAGGTCTGTGGTGAGGCACAAACATCATGACCCAATGGTGTGGAGGAGGAAAACTGCTCACCTTATGGCAGCCGGGAAACAGAGACCGAAGAACTAAGGAGTATGGAGCCAGGGACCAGATGTGATTGCCAAGGTCACACCCCCATGATGAACTCCCTCAACTAGGATCTACCTCCTGTTTCTATTACCTTCTAAATTATGCCATCAAATAATGATTTCAGGAGTGAGTAAGGAACCTGCTGATCCAATCACCTCTCTCTAGGTCTCATCTCTGAATACTGCTATATTAGGGACCAAGCCCTCAATACATGAATCTTTGGGAGACACTTCCTATTTAGACCATAACAAAGGGAGATGCTCCTCAGAGCCTCTGGAGGGGGCACAGGCACCTCAATTTCATACTTCTTTCCTCTAAAGTTATGAGGCAAGAAATGTCTGTGTTAAGTTACATTGTGGTCATTTGTAACACAGGCCTGCAAAACTCCTCCAGGGACCAACTACGTGCCAGCCTGGCTGCTTCACATCCTGCTGTGGTCACATCAGGATGGAGAGTCTGTCTGCTCTGTGTCTTGACTGTGGATGTGATTGCCCCCCCACCCCAGTCCCCAATAGCTGTGCCCTGTTTGGAGACAGTAGGACTCATCCTGCAGTCTGAGTTCAGACCCTGACTCTGGCCATTTCCAGACACATAATCCTGGATCCCATTTTTACCATTCATACGCTCAGTTTTCTGATTTGTAAAAATGTGCTATTCTACCTCTGCTGGGAGCCATGGGAAAACCCAGTGACCTACAGGATACAGAGTACCTAGGACAGATCCTGGCATATGAAAGGCACTCAGTAAGATGTGACATAGTTAAATATTTGTATGAGTCGGAGTGAGAAACTATTATAATCTGCAGCTGCAATCAGAATAACTGTAGAGTTAAATTTAATGAAACACTAAAAACTTCCAAAGTGTTAACTGGTGATAGCTTTATTCCAAACAAGGTGTGTTAAATGATGCTTAATAAAATAAACATCTAAGATGCTTAGCCCATTTTTTTTGTCAAAGATGCCCTTGTACAGGTCTATGCTCACCTCAGTGGTCCCCCTTTGTCCTCTTTAGGTCCGGCACATTTGCCCTCCTATGAATGTTGGCCTGTAGTGCATACTTAATGCTTCTTTATTCAAATCAAGTCACTGAGTGGTCTTGAACATTCTTGCTACCCTCCGCCACACCACATGGCACTTGGAGCATTGTTCAGTCAAAGTGTCTTGTTGGCTTGACAGGCCTGAATGACTTCAGCTATCTTCACACGAACTGCTTCGAGCTGTCCATCTACGTGGGCTGTGATAAATACCCGCATGAGAGCCAGCTGCCGGAGGAGTGGGAGAATAATCGGGAGTCTTTGATTGTGTTCATGGAGCAGGTAAGGTGGGTGTGTGACTGTGATGTGGCTGTGACTCGCTAACAAACAGGGCCATGGATTTGACCAGGCGCATGGGATGGAATTGGCACTTCAGGCACCTTCAGCTGTTGTCCCTAGCTAGGCACATTGCTGCAAGGAATCCCTGCTTTTTTAAACTGCTCAGACCTCATGGAAAAGGCTCTAACCCTGTGGGGATATTTCCACTGACTCAGAGCAAGGGGGACAGTGCAGGAGCCTAGGGTGCTGGTCTGTAGGGGGTGGAAGGGTGACATTATCTGAGCAACATGCCTAGGCCCCTCCTCTTAGTCTGCTTTTACCATAAGAAAATGCAAGGCATGATTTAAAAACTCTGGAGAATGTTTGAATTTTGTTTTTAAAGATTTTATTTTATTATAATAAAAGACATACTGCCATTAATCTCCCTCAGAATACTCCCTCTTGCCTGGAAGACACTTATCCCACTGTTCCTGCCAGTTTTGGGAGTAGTTCTATATGTCCTCTCCTGTGGCTGTCTTTAGGTGTACTGTTGTGGCTGCCTTGGTGTCTTGAATCAGTTGAAAACATTTACCTTTCATAATCACTTTGACTTTGGGGAAGAACCAGAAGTCGGATGTTTCTACGTTGTGAATAAGGCAGATGAGGAGACGTTGTAATGTTTTTATTTGGCAGAGTTTGTCATTAATATTTGCACAATGAGGAGAGATCAGACAAAAAATAATGTTTAAATTTTAAAACGATTACAGTAAAAAACACGTTGCTATAAATCTCCCTCAAAATACACACCCCTTGTTTCTAACACATGTGTTATAACTTGTATCTAGATGTCCCCATAAGGCCTCATGCAGTCACATGTGGGGCGTTTCAGAGCTGGATGGATCTAGGGTGTGTGGTGCTGGGATCAAGGATGTGATGCTGGCATTGAGTCATGGTCCAATGCAAGGATTAAAATCGCCCTACTCTGGGTGTGACTGCTACTCACCCTAAGGGTGGCTAGCCTGGAGAAGATATAAGGGACAGAAAGAGGGTCATTGCTTGTCACTTCCTTGCTGCTTGCTTCCTTCCACCTATCCTGCTTTGCCATGGACTGTTTCTCCTCTGCCATGCCACCCTGCCTTGGACCCAGCCAACTATGAACTGAAAGCTCTACAAACTGTGAGCCAAATAAACCTTTCCTCTTTTAACTTTGGGTGTTGGGTATTTTGACTCACCAATGAGAAAAGTAACTAAGACAACACATATCCCATCATTCTCTTTTTTCTGAGACAGGGCCTTGCTGTGTAATTTACTATGTAACCCAGGCTGGCCTCAAACTCACAGCAATCTTCCTGCCTCAGCCTTCTGAGTGCTGGGATTACTGGCATGAGCCACCAAGCCCAGCTTATTTTTAAAGTATTAAAAATATTAATTCATCATACTTTTATGATGAATATTAATTTTGAATCACCCCTTGTACCTCAGACTAGAGGGTTTATCCAGCAGACATGCCTCTTTCATAGTTCTGGAAGCTGGAAGCCAAGATCAAGGGGCTTCAAGGTTGGTTCCTTCTCCATGGCTTGCTGCCTCTTCCCATGGACATGCCTCTGTGCATGTGCATTTGTGTATGTCCAGATTTTCTCCCCTTTTGGGGAGGATGTCCTGGGAAATGAACTCAGAGCTTTCACACTGAGCTGCATCCTGAGCCCTCATTTTTTTTTTAATTTTAAAAATTTTAAGACAGAGACTTGCTAAGTTGTCTCAGCTGGGTTCAAACTTACCGTCCTCCTGCCTTGGCCCCCTAGAATGCTGTGATTACAGTGTGGTGCCACCATGCCTGGTTCAGAGCTCAGTCATGATGTACTAAGATCCATCCTAATGGCTTTATTTTAACATAATCACTTTTTAAGTATCCTGTCTCCAAATATAGTCACATTCTGAGATATTAAGATTAAAGATTCAAGATATGAGGTTATTGGCCCCAAATGTAACCCATAAACCCCTGAGCCATCAGAGTCACTGTGTGGTAGTAACCTGCCTAGAAACAGTTTTGCTAAGTGCTGTGAGGCCCAGCTGCCTCCTGGTGAGGCCATGCAGTCTTCCTCATGACCCCAGACACCTTCCCTGCCTCCTGTTCTCAGGCTTATGCTCACCTTGTAGCACTGAGCTAGCTGGTTCTAGTTTAATGGAAAAACTAACTGAATAATATCCAAGACCTACTAAGGAAGGAACAGATTAACTGGAAATCAGAAAGATGAACAAAATGAATGTTGACCTTTAGGGCTCCCGTCGTTTGTAAGTATTACTCATATGGCTTCAGTATAACCGCCTCTGGGAAAGAAGGATGCCCCTGAGCGGCACACAGAGGTTGTTGCCCTCCTTCTGTGGATTATCATAGATGAGTTAGAAGAAGCAGGCGGCCATGGCTTGGGTGCCAGCCATCTGCTATTGTGCGAAGATAGCAAAGTTGGCACTTGGATCTAGCAAATGAGTCTGTCCTATGAGACCTTAGGGGGCTCAGCACAGCCCCAGTGAGCTTCTCCAGCACAGAAAGGTGTGGGCTGAATCTTCCTTCTTGGGAAGCTGTGAAAACACCTGTCCCAACCCTGGGAGTTAGTGGGGAAAGTTCCTTTTACTTTGCGTATACGAATAGAAAGAAGGCTTTGTCTATAGCAACCTGATCATCCTAAAGTAATGACCTGATTTAGCCAAAGTGCTTCTCATGAATAAAATGTCCAGGGATAGCTATGTATAAAGAATGTCACTGGAAATAATAGTGTGTCGCCTAAGATTGTCACATCATTCTATGTGTGGAGAGACTCAGGTTTGAGGTTCAGAGTTGATGTATGTCATTTGACATAGGGGAATTGTTATTTTTAGGAGGTTACTTATTCTTTCCTCTCTGGCTCTTAAATCATTAAGTCCATAGAGCCCAGGAGGTTCAAGCAAAAGTGTCTTATAAAAATTAAGGCACATTTGAATTAGCTAGTTGTGTATTTATGAATAACCTCAGATCCTAATTTTTTTAAACCTTTGAAATTTTTAAATTCCAATGGAAACTTTCTGGTGTGGGGACCCCTGAAAAGCATGGTGAAGTTTCACACAAAATTCATGAACAGCCAGGTGAGTCTTTTGGGTTACATGTGGCACTGTGAGCATTCCTAGTGGGGACTGAGTTAGCTTTAGATCTGTGACCCACTTCCTCAGGCTGGCCCGGCCCAGAGCCAGTCATTGACCTCACCATATCTCATCCTGTTTGTGGAACAGGTTCACCGTGGCATCAAAGGCATGGTGAGAGACTTACATGGAAAGGGAATTCCAAATGCCATCATCTCTGTAGAAGGTGTTAACCATGACATCCGAACAGGTAACTGGGAATGTCTATTAACTGTCTTTGGTAAGAAATATCGGTTTTCTTGAAGTGTTTTACTTGGGTTACAGAGTGCCAGAAACGTCTTATTTGGAGCTGAATTAGTCCTATTCCTTCCATTTTTCCAAGAGACCTTTGAGAGCAAAGTTCAGAGTCTGTTTCCTGGTTTCTGTCTGTGCCTTCCCTGGGACAGGCTTGAAGCACCAATAAGTTCCCAGCTGTGGTGGGACTTGCTGAGAAGTTGAGGAAGCAGCTTTTCCTCTGCGGGGTTGTTACCTATGCAAGCAGCTTGGCTCCTACACTAGGCAGAATGGGGCTGAGGGGAAGGGCAGGCAGGCAGCCCCAGAAGGAGATGCAGTGGGTGGGGGTTGTCCAGTCCAAGGAGGAGTTTAGAGGGCTAGAATGGGGAGTTTTATGAGTGCTGTCCCCACAGGCTGGCTGGAGTGGAACCCTAGGACACGGCTTTGAGGATAGGGAAGATTAATTTTTCTTTTTAAACCACAGGAAATTGTTGAATGTGATGTTTAAGGAAGACACCAGTGTTTGTTATATAAGAAAGAGGATAATAATAATAATGATAACACTAAGCCCTCACATTGATTTTGGCATCTCTTGTATGGCTATGCACTCTTTGACTAGCTTTACATGGTTGAATCAGTTACTTTCCACAACAATTCTATTTTTTTTTTTTTTTTGATGGTATCTTTGAATAAGGAAGTGAGGCACATGAAGAAATTTAACAGGGAGACCCAGGTCCCACATGTATAAGGGGAAAGTGGCTGGGGATATTAGATCTCTAGTTGGCACAGGGATGGCCATTTTATGGGAGGGTAGAAAATTCTAGAATTTTGGATAATGTGAGGGTCAGAAGATGGTCTCTTAACAGTAGTGCTGAAATCTTACTCCAACTCTCTCTATTGTAAAAGAAAGGAAGTTAACATCCAGGCTCTTATAAACCAAATTTGGTTTCTAATTGCTAAATACTTAAATAACCTCTCACTTTCAATGCACTCATGGAGTGGCTGCACTGTCTTGAGGCAGCAAGGGACCATTCGACTGTCCCTGGGCCTCTAAGCAGCAGCAGGAGCAGGCTCTGTTCAGGAGAGCTGATCCCTGAGAACTTGTGTACATGTTTTCTTTCATTTCTCTTTTCATTTTGGCTGTTTTAGAGACGTGGGCCATTCTTTCTCCCTTATTCGGGTAGAGAACGAAGCTTCAAGGGGCTAGCTGAACTCTCAAAGGCCAAGAGGTGGTGTGACTTGGATTCAGGACTCTGGCCTTCAAGGCTGGAAAATCACTTTCAGGAAAGTATGCAGCATACGCACAGAGACACCACCTATTCGATTGATTGATTGACTGATTGATTGATTGATTTTTCAGTTTAGGGGATTGAACTCAGTGAATTTAGGGCCTTGTGTGTGCCAGGCAAGCTCTATAGTGTATAGTTATACCCCCAGCCCTTTTTAAATTTTATTCTGAGAGAAGGTCTTGCTAGCCTTTAACTTGGGGTCCTCCTGTCTCAGCCTCCTGAGTAGCTGGGTGTGGACCTCCACAGTCAGCAAGATGCCACCGTATTGTTTGACTTGGAAGTAATATGGAAATGAAGGTGTTCCCACATACCTAGGGTTTCCCTTTGTTTCCCAGGACTCTCCTCGTATGGTGTACTTCAGTTTAAAACTGGAAACCCCATGTCCCTAGAACCCTACAGACCCAGGAAAATGAGTGAATTCTTCTTTCCACCCAATGCCTCACTGTTTGCTATGGACTGACAGCCACATGTTGGAGTTATCACCATGGCTCTTCCTTCTGTCTTGGTCTTCTTCCTCTGGGGAGGCCCTTGGTTCTTTTCTCAATCATTTGGATTTTGCTCAGATGTCACTGCCTTAAGGTGATGACCCTACTTAACACTACACACCTACCTGATCCCCTTCGGTCTCTTATACCCTTCCCAACTTTGTGTGTGGTACAAACATGCCACCTGCCTACTTACAAACAGTGGGTGCTCAACAAATATTTGCTGAATGAGTGAGTGAACAGACACTGCATGATAGTCTCAGGATGGCATATTGAGTGACAGGGTTGTGAGTGAAGCAAAGGGCCTGAGACTCCAGACCCAGAGCTCCTTTCTCTGTGCCCAGCTGGTTCTTCTTCTGGGCAAAAAGGGACCCCTTCTCTGCAAGCCATTCACCTATACCCACAGATCCTGTCCTCCCAGTGAGTTATTCCATTGGATCTGCCAGGAGATGGAGACTCTGGGACATGGGAGGAGGTGAGATTGGGATTCATCTTGGCCCACATGGTCAATGCCATGCTTCCTGACATGAGATGGGAGGCAAGTTACCTAAATGGATGAAGATGTCTGAAATGCCCCAAAACAGTAGACTGGCATGTAATAGTATAAATCACATTCTTTTCATTTAGTTACTGGTTTCTTCTCTCAGTGGTATTTTCTGAACATTCCCACCATTTGTCCTGGATCTTGTACCCAGTGACTGTAAGGTTCAGGCTCTACCGCATGGAGATTTGTGCACAGTAACGACTTAAGGCATCCATTTATTCATTCGTTTATTTACCCATTTACTCATCCATTAATTCAGTAAATGTGAACTGAGTACCCCTGAGGTGCCATGGGGGGTGTTGACGATCATTAGGAACGAGTGAAAGACAGGCTCATTGACTTGGTTCTCCATAGGATTTATATTTTAAATATTGCTTAAGAGTGATTTGTAAAAAGCCTGAACCATTCCTTGGACTATTCAGTGTGTCTGTAAGCAATCTGAGAAAACACGAGGGTTTAAAACTGAGTGGGAAGTAAAAAGGCCCTGGGGTCCCATAAGCCTAGATGAGAATGCTTTGCCTAATGGGCTCTGAATTTCAAGCCCCTGGAATCAAGGAGACAGTTTGGATGAGCTAATGGGAAACACATCTCTCTCCTTTTATTTCTCCCTATAAATAATTTCCCAGAGTGTCCTCCTGACAGATGCATCCCATACTTTACACATGGCTCTTCATTTTATTGGTTTCAGCATCTTTTAGTGCTTGACAAAAGCTCTGAATTCGCCTTGATTTCTGTTTGAGGCTTATAGGATCTGACAAGTTTTATCTCAGGAGGGATTTTGCAGTAAAATAAACAGAAGTATTAAGTGGAATTCCAAAGGGAGGGAAGTTAGTAAGAATACTTTTGAAGAGATGCGTATAAGTAGTTTGGCCAAACAACGGGTTTAGAATTCTACATGACTATCCTTCGGAGGAAATTAACCTGACCTGATGATGGATGCACTCATCGGCCTGAGCTTCCGCGTCTGTCCACACATGCCAAGCAATTCCTGTGTGTGTTGACCTTCACTGTGGCTCTGGGGAGTTCTCCTGGGACACCAGTCTGATCACACCAGAGGAAGACAGCAACACAAAAATGCGTCCCGTATTTCATCAAGTGCCTGATTCTAGGCTTAAGGGTTGTCAGGAGCAGCAGCAGAGATAACGAGAGCTGAGGGATAGTGTGGGAAAACCTCTGCAGAGAACTGGGAGAGAAGCTCTGCAAGCAGAGGTGCGACTCAGGCAGATCTATGTTTCAGATGTGGAAACTTCACTGGGTGTGGTGGTGCATGTCTGTAGTCCCAGAATTTAGGGAGGTTCAGGCAGAAGGACCACAAGTTCAAATCCTACTAGACTACTTAGTGAGGCCTTATCTCAAAAGAAAAAATAAAAAGGCCTGGCATGTAGCTCAGTGGTAGAGCATCCCTGGGTTCCTTCCCCAGTGCCCCCCTCACACACACCAAGTGGCAAAGAACTAACACCCTTTGTTCTGATTGTGTGAACTCAAATACATTTCTGATAATTTCATTTATCCTTTTAAGATCTCTTATGCAGCACCTACTATGTGCCAGGAGAAATATGAGCAAACCAGATATGGCCCCTGGCCAGTAAAGGTGTACGTTCTTGTGAATACCTACACATAATTATAAAATAACATTTTAAAAAGTTCATTGTGGACTACAATCAGTGCCAAGAAAGAAAAGAATTAGGTGAAATGTGAAAGTAGGTGGGAGAGCCAAGAAAAGATCTTACCCTAAAAAGATGAGCGCAGCCAACCTTTTCGAGAGCAGGGAACAGCATTCCAATCAGAACAGTAGTTACACAGTTTCAGAGTCAGAATGGGAGCATGTGTGGCATGTGATGATGAGGCAAGGTCAGCAGGCCTGAGCTGGAGTTTTGCTCTAAGTCTGGCCCTTATGTGAGCGGGGGTCCTCAGGTGGGCGGGATTGTGTCCCCCAGTCTCTAACTGTGTATCTTTCCCTGTTGCACAGACACGAGTCCTGGGCCAAGGTCACCCATCCCAGAGAGCATCCACCCCTGTGAAAATGCTTAGGCCCATGGTACTCAGAGACACTGAGACAGAAAGGGAGATGACAGGTATCCTCAAGGAGAACACAGCACACAGAAGGACAGGCTCACTCTGACTCACTGAGCCCTCCAGGCAACTCAGGACGTAGGCTCTATGTAGTTTTGTTCATAAGGTAATTGGATCCCCGGAGGGGTGTACTGTTTTGCATGAGGTCACATAGCTAGAAACTAGCAGGCCTCTTTCTTAGGACAGTCTGAATGTCCCAGTGAGTGAAACTCTGAGGGAAAAGGCTGCATTTGATCAAATAACGAGAGAGTACTTGGGAGTACTAAGGAGATTTACTTGTTGAGCTTTGCACCCAATCCCCTTTCAAGGCATCTCTGGCCCTCAAAGCTCCCTGGACCAACCCCAGAGAGCCACCTCCTTCATGTGCCCTCTGTCCTGTCACTTCTACCAGACAGTGGTTTTGAGAAGATGCTTAGCCTCCTGCTCCTGTCCTGGCCCTGTGCTAAGCGGTCAAGTCCTTCAGATCCCGAGCCTTCGCCTTCTGCCCTTCACAGTGTGCCTCCTCAGTCCATCCTCAACTGAACACCTACTGGCACCCACTCAAATGAATGTCTGTTCGGTTGATTAGGATGAAGAGAAATGAGTCACTAGGAAACCAAATGTCACATTCACACGAGAAGGTGAATATAGTTGATTTCAACTGCTCTGAGTGCTCAGAGGGGCTGAGTTAAGGCCTAGAGCCCATCCCCTGCCAAAGGCTGTTCCGATCCCCAGAAAGGTACGGATGGACTCTGGTCACATGCGATACACAGGTGACCAGCAGTATAGCTGGGAGGCAGGAGTTCTGCTGCAGCTCAGCTTTGGCTTGTCAGGTCTTGAACCTCTCTCTGCCTTGCAGAATCCCTATGTTTCTTTCAGCCCTGGCTCAGGATGGAGAAATAGAGTGGGGTGCAGGTACCAAGGTCTCCTTCAGTTATCCTTCCTTGCCTTTCCAGAAGTCAAGATGCCCCACCCCTTTCAGAAATTATTTTTATAAATGTGTAGCCATGCCAAAGGAAGCCAGAAAGCCATGCCTGGGTGGCTTTTCAACATAGACCTTTTGTGGTGAGGGCATACTGTTCACAAGTTCAAGTTCCTGATGAATGGTTGTATTGTCACAGAGGAAGGAGTGTTTGTGATCATTTCTCCATCTTTGTCCATATGTATGAACACTGTAGGGAGCCTAGATCCCCAACCCCTTCCTGTTAAAACCATTAAGGCAGCTTCCAAAATAGAAACCTTCTTGGCTTTCAAAGTACATTAAGAACTTGCTTCTGCAGTAGCTCAGATTCCCTGCTGCCTTCCTCAGAGGCCCTGTGCCAGGGCTGGTCTTGAAATAGGGATGGTGGTGTTTGTGTTACAAAGAACTGCTCTGAGGTCCTCCTGGTTTCTTTTCACAGCCAATGATGGAGATTACTGGCGCCTCCTGAACCCTGGAGAATATGCGGTCACGGCAAAGGCAGAAGGCTTTACAACTTCCACCAAGAACTGCATGGTTGGCTACGACATGGGGGCCACACGGTGTGACTTCACACTCAGCAAAACCAACCTAGCCAGGATCAGAGAGATCATGGAGAAGTTTGGGAAGCAGCCCGTCAGCCTGCCCACTAGACGGCTGAAGCTACGGGGTAGGAAGAGACGACAGCGTGGGTGACCCCCAAGCCGGGCCCTCGAGATTCATCAAAGACCCATGCATATGAAACTCACCCTAATAATAGCTCCATAGGGGACTCACTCACTGTTGTTTTCTCTGTAATTCAAGGAACACCTGGGAACATGTGCATTGCAAGGGGAGAGGAAGGCTGGAGACTTAGGATGTTTTCTTTTCTTTACTCCCACTTATTCTAATACCTTTGATGGGGCAGCAGAGAACGGCTGGTGAGAGTGAGAGAATTCAACAAATAAACCTAGGAATCTGAGCGATAGGACCTCGATGGTTTTCCTCCTGGCTACCAGGAAGGGGAACTGAACTCTGCCTGTTTGCGTGACAGCAGGAGTTTCCTGTGTGTTTGCAATTGGCACAGCTGACTTTGCAGCACTCCCGGACTCCTGCTGTCCCCAGTGTCATCATTTGAGATGCTCTCAGGCATCCTAAGAGAATCCATCCACTTTGGCCCCAGGACATTCCAGGCCGCTAACATAAATTCTGTATTCTCCTGACAATAGAGCCGTTACCAAGTGAGCATCAGTGAGTCTCACGAATCAGCTTAGCTTCCCTTTTCACAAAGCATGGTGTTCATAAAAGGACAGAGAAGTGGAGTTAATTCTACACTGATTGCTGCACAGGAAGCATCGTGGGGCTTATTTGCATGCAAGCTGGGCTCCCCGAGAAACCCCCAAACTCCTTGCTGCTCTAGTAGCCTGAGTGGTTCTGTCAGTGGGGAGAACCACAGGTGCCAGCCTTCCTAAAGGGCCAGGTAAGTTAACCTGGGTCGTTTTTGGTTTTGAAGACTTGAAAAGATCCAGAAAGAGACTGACTTGAAGACCCCTCTCTGCCCAAGGTGTCAAGCCCTGCATGGAGATGAATGCTCCCGTCTTGGCCTGCCCTCAGATTGAGAATTACTTTTTATATTTAGAATGCCAGGGCTTCTAAACTAGGCTACATTTGATGACAAACTCCTAGCATTACCTGTGGAGCATCAGCTTGGCAGGGGGGTCATTGAATTGCTATGTAAGGAAACAGCTGTGTCTCACTTTTATTCATGTTGCTGCCTCATTGATCTGGGAAGAATGAAAAAAAATAAAACAAATGGTAGGATTCTTGTGGCGTGTTTTTTCTGGGTAGACTTGTGACCATCCAAATGCCACCCTACTCTCTCTCTCTGCCACTGTGAGGTGGGCACCTTGTGCCTTGGTAAAGCTTAGCACTGATACTGACAATTCTGCACTTCTCCTTCTTTCCCAGGAATGACATGGGTGGGAAACCATAGTAGCTCCTGGAGGTGCCAGTGAGCATGTTTATGGAAAATGTAGCCATGCAGCTTTTTCACAGTCTAAGTAGGGGTCAGCAAACTTTCTAGAAAAAGGAGAAATTGTGAAATATCAGATTTTGTAAGCCACACAATCTCTGTTCTAACTTCTCAGTTCTGCTTTTGCAGCACAAAAGCAAACATATACATACATAAAGAGGTGGTGATGGTTGTAGTCCAGGAAAACTTTGTTTAACCAAGCAGATGGTAGCTGGATTTGCTCACAGTCTGGGAGATGGTGGTCTCCTGCTGCAAATCTGTATTGTTCAGTCAGACCTTCTCAGATGAGGGGAATTTTCTCTTCTGTGCTATCGAATGTCATAACCACCAGCTCTAGTGGCTACTTAGCGCTGGAATGGTGGCTGGGGAAATTTAGGAACAGGATTAGTGTTATAACATTAGTGTTATATCATTTTTGGCAGGTGGGACCAGCAGCCTGGCAGAGGGGGAAAGTCCAAAGCAGCAGTGAGAATACAAGAAAGATAAGGGGCCACACAGAGCCAGTGGTTGGTGAGAGAGGTGAACTGGTGCTGTGCTCCAGCACACAGAAACTCAGAACAGAAAGGGGTGGAGCCACCATTTTATTTCAAAGGACTCAGGGTGAACTCCAGCAGCAGAACAATCCCAGATTGCTACACTGCCAACATCCCAGAGTGGAATGAGGGAAGAGCCCTCCAGTCACAGCAGACTGCCAGCAGATGCAAAGCAGATGAGAGGGAATTCTGCTGAGAGATCGGAGCTGGGAACACCTAGACTCCATGCTGGCAGCATGGAGAAACACCATTCTTCCCAAACACCAGAAACCAGTCTTATCCCTAAACTCAAAGGACTGGAAGCAGCTCCCTGGCATGTGACCAGCAAAGAGGCCTTGGTCCAGCAGCATAAGCAGGCAAGCAATGTTGGTTGGCAGTGGGACAAGGGTACTCCCCCACCCAATGATCAGTGAGTAAGAGAAGTCAGTGCTATGGAACAGAGGCACGTGTGCAAGGTCCAGAAGGAGCCAACTGTACACAGGTCTGGAAGCAACTCCAGGCTTTCCCCACCCAAGGGCACCGCAGCAACTGGGAGAGTGCCACAGAGACACTCACAGTAAGGAGAAAGGGACATCTAAAATGTTTTCAGTTTAAGAACCATCCCAGGGCCCACACCCAGAGGCCAACATCTGTCCCTTACGCAGCACAAATCCTACTGCAGATGTGGCAGGATTGCACAGCGCATTTCTGAAATCTGACATGGACATTGCCACAGAACCATAGATACCAGGGGAGTTATTATTTTTCTTTTCCTTTGGTTATTTGGTTGGTTTTCTTTTTCTGTGTGATTGGGTTTGTTGTTGTTTTCTTTTTTCACTATTTAGGTTTCTTATCTTTCTTTTTGTTTTCTTCTATTCATTTTCTTTCTTCAGCTATCTCTTTTGATTATATGATATTTTCATGTGAGTGAACATTGTCTCTTCTCTTTCTGGTTCACTTCAATACTCTTTTCCTTTCACTTTCATTCTTTCTCTCCTGTCTTCTCCAATTCCTCAAAACTTAAGTGATCATTCTTTGCCTTCTAGATTTGCTTCTACTATATTTCTCCTCATTCATCTCTCTATTATGTGCCCTATCTCTCTTAAATCCCCTCCACAGGGTAAAAGCACACTACTAAGGGGAAAGTCATTGTGTACAAGTTCTTGGTATATGTTGGATTTTGTTATATAACTGTAGAATTGTTCCTATGGTTAAAGGTATCAAGTTAATAATTACCACAATTTGCCAATAGGTAGGCTGTATTGTTGAACCTCAAACTTCTATAAAAAGAACAAATCAAATCCAAAGCTCATATGAGAGCAAAAATTATAGATAAGAGCAGAGTTAATGCAATTGAGACTAAGAAAGCAATACAAAAAATCAATGAATTGAAGAGTTAGTTCTTGAAAGATTAAATAAAATTGATAAACCCTTAGGCAATCTTATCAAAAAGATGAAAGAAAAGACTCAAATTCATGCAATTAGAAATGAAAGGGGTGAAATCACAATTAATCCTGTGGAAATACAGAAGACTATCAATATACCTACTTTGAGAACCTACATTCAAATAAGATGGAAAACACAGAAGGAATGGACAAATTCCTAGATAATATGGATTGCCAAAACTACATCAAGAAGATACAAAAATTCTAAATATCCCAATATCAGGCATTGAAATTGAAAATATAATTAAAAACTTACCAACAAAGAAAAGCCTAAGTCCTGATGGATTTGCTGCTGAATTCTGCAAGAAATTTAGAGAAGGTCTAAAGTCCTTAATGCCAAAACTTTTTAAGGATATTGAAAGGGAATCAATGCTCCCCAAATTATTCCTGGAAGCAAGTATTACCCTGATACCAAAACCAGGGAAGGACCCAACCAAGAAAATTACAGGTCAATCTCCCTAATGAACATAGATGCAAAAATCCTCAATAAGATACTGGGAGACAGAATATAGCACATCATCAAGAAGATTATACACCTTGTTCAAGTAGGATTTATCCCAGGGATGCAGCAAAGGTTCAACATATGCAAATCAAAAAATGTAATTCCCCAAATCAACAGAGCCAAAAATGAAAATCACATGATTATCTCAATAGATGCAGAAGAAGCATTTGACAAAGTCCAACATCCATGCATGGTAAAAAGTCCTATAGAAAATTAGAATAGATGGTATTTACCTCAATCTGATAAAATCTATCTATGACAAACCAGCAGTCAATATCATAATAAATGGTCAAAAATGGAAAGCTTTCACACTAAAATCAGGAGCAAGATGAAGATGACCACTATCACCACTCCTATTCAATATAGTTCTGGAAACAATAACCAGAGCAATTAGACAAGAGAGAGAAATAAGAGGAATAAGGATAGGAAAGGAAGAAGTTAAACTATCATTATTTGTAGATGATGTGATACTCTACATAGAAGATGGCAAAAACTCCACCAAAAGATGTGTAGATTTAACAACCAAATTCAGTAGTGTAGCTGGATAGAAAGTCAACACGCAGAAATCAGTAGTGTTCCTATACACAAACAAATGCATTGAGAGAAAAATTAGGAAACTACACCTTTCACAATAGCATCCAAAAAGCTGAAATACTTGGGAATTAATCTAACAAAGGAAGTAAAAGACGTATATATTGAAAGTTACAGCACTCTAAAAAGAGAGATTGGTGAAGATATCAAAAAATGAAAAGATATCCCTTGCTCATGTCTCGGAAGAAGCAACATAGCAAAAGTGGCCATACTCCCAAAATTGTTATACAGATTTAATGCAATCCCAATCAAAATATTATTAGCATACATCACAGAACAAATTCATTTGGAATAGAAGACATCTAGAATAGCAAAAACAGTTCTTAGAAACAAAGGCAGGGCAGAGGGCATCACAATCCCTGACTTGAAGCTATTGTGATAAAAACAGCATGATGTGGCAAATAAAACAGACCTGAGGATCAATGGAACAGATTAAAAGATGCAGAAACAACCCCAAACGCACTCGGCCACCTTAGCTTTAACAAAGAAGCCAAACATGTTCACTGGAAGGAAGATATTCTCTTTAATTAATTGTGCCAGGAAAACTAGCTTTCCACATGCCAAGGACTAAAACTAGACCCACGTTTATCATCATGCACTAAACTAAAATCAAAATGGATCAAAGATCTAAATATTAAAAGAGAAACACTAAACCTGCTGGAAGAGCAAATAGGCAGAACTCTTCAAGACATAGATGTAGGCTAAGATTTCGTGAACAAACTCTATTTTTATTTTTTTATTTTTTTTTTTTTTTTCCAGTACCTGGAATCAAACTCATGACCTTGCACTTGCCAGGCAGGTGCTGATGAACAAATTCTCAATCACACAGGAAATAATATATCATTTTCGTTAATTTAAATCTAATGCTCACTAGCTTTTTGTGGCTGGAGGCTACCTATTGGACTACACAGCTCTCAGCTAAGCTTATCTTAGGAAAATCTTACCCTCTTAGCATTTTAGCAAAATTATAAGCCACCTCTGTAGTTTGGAAGAGTTGACAATTTCACACTTTCTGAGGAGGTAATCACCCTACCATGTCTGACCCAGGATCTATGTCCTGGCATTTGGTACCAGGATGCTTCAGTCTCCTGACCAATGTTAAACCCTGGTACCTGCAGGCTTCCATACAGACTCCATATCCATGCAATCCACAGCTTTCACCACAGAGTCTGCCCTAGATTGAACCCTCTCATAGGCTCACAGTAGGAGCTCTGGGTTTCCGGGCTGGTGCTACCCCTTGGTATATAGTCTTTATCAGGAAGCTGTTCTAATCTCAAATTTTCTACTACAAAGTGAAGCCCTTGGGCTGATAGACACAAGCTTTTAGACTTCATGTGCTGTTTGCTGGTTCCCTACAGAGAGAGCACCCAGATTCCAATGCTCTGTTCTGTTGGAGCCATCGTTCTCCTAGCCCTCTCCACACACAGTGGCCCCTCTATGAGCCTTCACGCCCAGACTTCCTTCCTTGACCCAGTTGCTGGAACCTCACTCCAGCTTGTCTCCTTCTCTTCTTTGTACCCAGAATTATCCCGGTTCTTCCCTAGGGCTCAGCATGGGCCTTTGTATATACTGCCTCTTCCCACAACTGACAACCAACCCGATCTCCTGCTCTCCAGCCCTGTCTCAAATCCCATCTCTTCTGGGAAGGCTTCCTCTCTCTCTCAGGATTTCTCATGCCCTTGAACAAATCCACCCTTCCAGCCTCTCAGTGGAGCTAACTTGTTTTAGCTCTGTCTGCT